AAATCAGAGCTAGATAAAATTTTAACAACTCTGAGCTATTAGTTAAGTTCTCCCCAAGCGAGCTCGATGGGCCGAATGGCCTCCTCTCGTTTGTGTAGTTCTTATGTTCTTATGTGTCTTGTGAGATTGACCACAGTGACCCTGAAGACAGTCTTTTCTGGACTGAATTACTTCTTACTGTGTGCAGTCTGTGCCTGGCAAACGTGGCCAGTGTGCTAGCAGCTAACCTTTATCCAGCCAAATCATTCCCCTACCCAGATAATGGGCTCACTAGCAGATATATACCACCTTTGTTGGGTGACATGATGCAGAGGTTAAGCTACGCCTTCCGCTTCACACAGATACTCTCTGGGAAACTGAAGAGAGACGGTGTCATCCTGGGGGGTGGGGGTGCATTAGGCCTCTGTGCCTGTGATCAGAAGGTTCCTACTTTGAACCCCAGCATCGTCAAAATAGTTACATCTTGACTTTTTTTTTTTTTTAAGATTTTTTTTGCTAATCCCCCCCCTTTCCAGGCAAGATTCCAAACTATCAGAATAGCATTACTTTTAAAAATACCATCAAAATACAGTGTATTGTATATCGCGGTATAATGCATGGAAGGTATGATGGTATGAAATATTAGATACCGCCCATGATTAAAAGCGTCATTTCATTTATAAGCAGCTGGCACATATCATCCCCTAAAAAGTCTGCTATTAACTCACTGAGCTCCTCCCGGTGCTGCTCTGTCTGGGTGAAATACTGCCGCAGCTCCTCCGTGATCTCCATGTTGCTGACGTCGCACTCGATCTCGCTTTCTGACTCGCTATCGGAGCTGCTCTGCGTGGGCCCAGGGTACCGAGGTGCTCGCGGCCTGGCACCTTCCCTCAGCGAGCCGCCCATGTCCTCGCCAACGTGCCAGTCTGCGTAACGCTGCGGTACGGACGTGCCGTGAAACACTTCCAAAGCCTTTCTGTAGGCTCGCTGGTGCCTCTGTAGCCAGACCATAGCCTGCTGGTAGTGCTGCCAGTACCTGGAGTACACAGGGTGTGAAAACCAGGAGACGACATCACTGTGGTCAGCCTGAGGAAGGTGAGAGCCAGAGAAGACAGAATCAGAGAAATGAATGTTAGCAGATTACTGAGCGCACGTGGGATCCAGTTCTTTTCCATTACTTGACGTGAATCTTCACAATAAGTGTACATGTAGATACATGCATATATAAACATCGAAAAGAAACTAATTATATTTCCGTTAATAGCACAGAAAAGATCACCATCGTGCAGTTAAATAGCACAGAAAAGATCACCATCACGCAGTTAGTATTATTTTAACAAACACAAAGGGTGATAAATTTGCCATGTGTTATCCGCTATAAGGTTTCTTGAATGGTATGACGTAATCCGATTTAAGTACAAGATGCGGAGTCCGACATAACTTTAGCCCATCCAGTTGACTAGTGAGCTCTATCCCCGGCTGGTGGGTAACCAGGTCAAATACTCCTAATAACTCAGCCGGTTAACCAGCAGTCACATGTAAAATTTGAAAACATTAAAGGACCACAGTGACAAAGACGTATAAATCAGACGGGCATATCGATTTAGGATATAAATACGAAGGCGGCCGCGTTTTATTTTCTAATACGTCTCAATCGCTCACCATTGACGCCGCTAACTCAGAAACCTATACAGGAAGTGGATACAATCCGCTTCCTTTTCCTATATAGTATAGTTATACTGCCACCTGGCGGTATTCGATTGAAATCCATCCATCTTCCCTCATCCTGAACATGGACTAGTCACTAGTGGAGGCGGGACATTGAGCATATCATGGGCAGGATAGGGCAGGGAACGGGATACCAGTCCTTGTCAGGGCACATGCAAGCTTCCTGGGATGGACTCTAAGCTCAACGGGACTCTGCACTGGTACATGGTTATGGAAGATAAAGCGATGCCTTGTCATCTAGTTTAAGGAAGTTTTATTTTGGTATATTTATTCATGCGTGTTTCCATTACTGGCTTAACATTGGCCTATACAAGTGTGAGTACGAAAAACAACAAAAAACTCTAAGAATACACAAACACAAATAAAAAAGATTAAGCACTTTCTCAAATCTGAATTTACACATGACAACCTCCCCAATATACATTTCAAAGAGATAATTTACATTATTCTTAGAGTTAAGCATTTTCATGCCGATATACTGTAAAGAGAATTATTTCTGTCCTTTAAACACTGATCCCCCATTCACAGCCTGTCAGGGGCTGACCTGCTCACTTTGAATCAACAAAACTACAGACTTTTCTCCAGTGACAAAAGATATCCGTTAAACAAACTCTTGCATAAGTCAAATTTTACTTAAGTCGGATTACCTCATACCAGTCAAGAAACCTTATAGCGAATAACACATGGCAGAATATACCAGTAATACGCAGAGGCATAGCTACAGGACAGGCTTGGCAGGCAATTGCCTGGGGTCCCGAGCTGGGAGGGGACCCCCGAGGGCAGATGATTACATAGCACATTGCAACGACAAATACGCTTTGTGTTTTCTGTTTTTCGTAAACTTGAAAATAAAGGATTTGTGTTTAATTAATTCTCTTTGTTGATGTAATTAATTTAGACTTCACACTAAAATAATGGCGGTAAATTATACCATGTCGCCCTGCGGTGTGTTGACCACTGCCCAGGGCTGGTTCCTTCCTGCGCCAATTGTTCCCAGGATAAGATCCTGTCCCCACCACGACCCCAGTTGTGATTAAGCGGTTACGGCGATGGATGGATAGATGGATGGATGGATTATACGACGTGGGGGTAGGGTAAATTGCAGGGCCCCATGGATTTATTTTGCCAAGGCCCCCCAGAGTCCCATTACTTAGGGTTGGAGTTGTGGTTGTCATTTGTGTGCCCGGGTCTGTTGGTTATTACAATATACATTTATTTTCAGGCCTGTGTTGTGTTTTTTTTTTTTTATTATTGCCACCACCCCCCCTCTTCGGAGGACAACTTTATTTTACATTACATTCAAGAGCAAAGAGTGTGGCCGCTCCGAACTCACCAGTACCGTGGAAAAAGGAAAAAACAGAAAAACAGGGGGGGATACAGAAACAACAGGCGTAACAATAACAGGCATCAATCAACATGGGGAGAGAGAAAAAACAAAAGAGGTATACAGAAATAATAACACTAATAATGTAGGTGGGATGGAAAAAAATGAAGTATAGGGGAATACAGAATACAAACAACCATAAGAAACATAACACTCGTCAAACAACAAGAATTATAACAACATCAGTGATAATAATAATAATTAATAATGTTACAAATAGGTATTATATATATGTAGCATACACACACGTAATCATACCCTTATTTCAATTCCTAACTCTATAACATACCATAAAAAGTAATAATAATAATGATATTGATCGCTCAACCATTCTTGTATGCATGTGCAAGTGTAGGTGTGACCTGATTTGTCATTGGATGTGCTGGCATTT